TTGTGTGTTTTCTTGTTTGTTTCTAGAGGGGGATCATGGCCTCCAATCGTGTTCTTTCTTCCATAAGCACAACCTGCGCATGTGTTTGCTCTTACGGAATTGCTTCACACATGATACAACTTCAACCATTTGTGAACGATACCTTCTCTACGCATCAGCTAAAAAAAACCAATCTCCTCCTGCTTGCACGGAAGATATTGGAGCTGCCACATGGGATCGTGCATGTATGAGTGGGCTGCACCGCTCTTGCTCTTATTCCCTTCTTCATCCTGCCATAGCTAGGCGGACACTTGTGCCCGTTGGATAAGAATAAGGGTAATTACAGCAGTGGTGTTTGAACTTGCAATGGATGTTCACTTTAGTGTTTTAACTTGAAAAATACGTCGAATTGGTTCTAAAACATGCAAATATGATGCTAATCACTTCGTAGATGTAACGTGTGCTGACATGGCATTCTATTTGGCTGACGTGGCATGGGGCCCACTTGTCTTGACGAGACAAGATTACTTGAATACTATGTCTCTATGACTAGTGGGTGCTGCCTGTCCGTATAGATGCTAGCCACTCCACCCAACAGGTTTTCATGCCAAGTGTGGCCCATCAGTCTAAATGCACTGTAAACGATAAAGTTTGTGCTACTTAAATGGCTTGGCCCCCCTTTTTTTTACAATATTTTTAAAAAATGTAAACATTCTGTAAATTATATTCACAATAACAATTCTGTAAATATTTTTGTGCATGTACTATTATAGAAAAATATATAAACCAGGCCCCATGCCATGCTTTGTGTTATAAATATTTGTTGTACATAAGTAATAATCTTGTGGTACGCAAATATTCATGTGCACACAACATAAATGTATATAGGTGTGCAATGAAAGAAATTACTAGAAAATGTTACTATCATTTTTACAAATATTCACTTATTATTTAGAGAATATTATTTTAAATATAATCCATAAGTATTAAAAATGTTTAGTAAATACAGACAATTTAAATATACAATTGTAGCATTTTTTAAATAAAAATTAATTGTTTAAGGAATACAAACATTTTTATACACGTATGGCTTAGATTTAAATTATGCAAAATTGTGGATAACTACATTTACTAAATATTTATGAATATTCACTGGTGTATAATTTCACTTGTGGCTTATATTCATAAATTTTATGTAGTGTAAATATAATCCATGAGTGAATATTCATATAAATATTTTAAATTTAAAATTACGAATAATTTTTAAGTTATACAAACATTTTAATAAACAACATACTTATGAATTTTTAAAGTATGCATCTAATTACTCATTTTTAAATTTTAGATTCATTTTTAAAGTTAGTTATTTTAGTTTCATGTATAATGAAACAATTATAACACATGAATAGTTGGACTATATTTGTATTACCGTGATTATAATTTACAGACCTTTTATTACATTTAAAAAATGAACGTGTGCTAAATGGACGGCACTAACTGCAGCCCATCCACAAGCTTTTCATTTACTGTACATTAAGGTTGAGGGGCCACAATTGGCGGGTGCTCCTATACCTCGCCTTCAGCAAGCGTAACTTCCGACTCGCTGAAGGGGGGAGCAAGATAGGCCGGAACCTGTCTTTCTGTTTTTTAACTTTTTCTATTTTCCTTTTTTTACTTTTGTTTATAATTTAAAATATTTTAAAAATCTATATATTACAAAAAACTCTCCATGAAATTCATTTCGAAAATGTTGAAAAAGTATTTGCAAAATGCTGAATAAATATTTTTAAAATGGTAATCAAGTGTTCAGAAAATGCTGAATAAATATTTGTAAAAAGTCTATCAAGTATTGAAAAAAAAGTTAATCAAGCATGCGGAAAATATTGAACAAATATTTGAAATTTTTGAATCAAGCATTCGTAAAATGCTGAACATGTATAGAAAAATTGTTGATAATGTATTAAAAATGATGAATTTATTTATTCATGTATATTAAATATTAATCAAGAATGTAAAAAAAATATCAAACAAGTATTTGAAAAATGTTAAACAAGCATTTTGTCTGCCCGTCATGATGGAGAAGGCTATAGATCTCCGAAACGTAGCTTCGGGCGGAGTGGAGTGGCTAGAGTTTTGACCGGGATGCAGATGAGGACGGAAATATGTGGGGTCGGGTGGGCTGGGTTAGACGTGACGGAGCGTGGAGGAGGTATGAGGGGTGCACTGGGTCAAAATTTGGGACCG